CCTGGGCTGGTGGAGGAGCGAGAGAGCGACTGAGAGAGGAACGAGGCGGGAGGAAACCGAAGCCGCTGAGCCGGAGAGCGGGACAGGCTTTGGTTGCTTCCTCCCTCCCCTTCTTTCATTTGTGTCCTTGATCCCTGATCCCAGCAGCATTCACCGAAGGTGAAGAAAGCCGCCATTTTTATTTTATTTTTATTTTCTTTGCGGCCCGGTACCAAATGATCCACGGACCGGTACTGGTCCGCGGCCCGGTGGTTGGGGACCCCTGGCCTGGAGGACGGAGAATCTCCGTATTCTGCCTGTCCTGTACAAATACTGTACAAAGGCAGAGAGATAAACTCCACAAAGCATCCATACAAAGTCTTTTTTATTGGTTCATCGGGCATCCTGTCAACTCACATTTATGACGAGGTTCTTCTTAATGTCCAATCCTTTGCATACCTGAATTGTGGTGTAGGAAGATAATAAGGTCTCAACCCCATGATGATTGAAGCAGCCTCATGGTAATGGCTTCAGGCAAGAGTGAGGGAGACTCCCCCAACCCAACAAGGGTCAATTTAGTGACCAATCAGGATTACGGATGTGACCACATGACATGGACTACATTTCCCAGGATACCTTAACTACATTTACATTTACCCTTAAGGGGACAGCTCACAATTCCTAACTAACTATCCCAAATCCCATTAACTCTAAACTGTCTGGACAGCACATTCCCCGCCTGGAATTGTAAATTCCACTAACTAAGTGAAGATCAATTAACTAAGATAGACAGTAAAGAGTAATAATAACTGAATAGCAGATAACTATATAACTAAGATAAACAGTCAGCTATATAACTAAGAGAAACAGTAAATAGCAATTAAGCATCAAACAAAGCAAAGCATGCAAAGCTTGAGGTTCAATCTTCAAGTTCAGCCTTTCTCCGCAGCAATACAAGGTCGGTGACCGGTCTAGTGTACAGCTTCTTGGTGCAAGTCTGCTGGTCATCTCTGGCGGCCTTTTAGGGTGGACAGGTACTCTTAGTGCCAATGGTGAAAGTCTGGTGGTCGCTTCTGGTGGCCTTTTAGGGTTGGAGCGGTTCTCTTTCTTCCACGGTGTTGAAGGGTGTCAGGAAGGTGTTGAAAAGGGTGTTGCAGAGGCATATGCCTGTGTAGAGCATCTTAGTGAACGTCTGGTGGTTGCTGGCGGCCGTTGAGGGTGTCCTAGCAAAAATGTACTGGTTGGCAGTGGCCTTTTAGGACTGACAAGTCCTGAGATTCCCCAACCCAGGTCTGTCTTGATGGCAAAGGGTGAGTATCTCGGGCCTCTGACTACTTCAGTGTGCGCTAAGGCATCAGGGGCATTGAATCCCAGCAAGAGCAAAATCTTGGCTTCAGGATCTAGGGCGGGAAATAGATGAGCCATACGCTTCAGGTGAGGTATGTTGCTAGCTACCTCTGGTGTTGCAATGCGGCTGCGGTCATCTGGTATCCCGTTCCATTCCATCAAGGGTGGCAGTAGGAACTGGGAACTTCCATCTAATGACTCCATACAGAGTCCAGTAGCTTCCCTCCTTGCCGTGCATCTGGGTGCGGTGCACGTTGATATCGTGAAGTGCACTTCTTCCTTCTGAACATCAAAGAGGTCGAAGAATGCGGACCTGGCGAGCGATCGCTCGCTCTGCGGATCCCGTATTACATACATCTTTACTGCTTCTTCTAGGCGTCCATCTGGGTAGACTTTGGCTAAGCAGATCTGACGACACGAGCGAGGGGCTGGTGTGCCATTGCACAACACTATGCAATTGACACCACTGGCTCTGGGTGTGCTTCTGCAGCACGTTGAGGCTCCTTGTTGAAAGGGGGGCGATGAGATGTCTGCAGTGGTGAATCGGCGTCAGGATGAAGCACGGTTGGATGCGTGTCACTTTTGCAGATATGACATTGCACTTTGGCTGTGCAGTATTTGGGCGAGTGTTTGGATTCGCAACACTTGTTGCAGGATTGGAGCTCTTTTTTCAACTCTTTCCTTTTGGACAGGGATTTCGCCGCAAACCCCTGGCACCTGTTCAGCGAATGTCGAGTGTGGTGCAAAGGACAAAACTGGCTTCTCTTTGAAATCGGAGATATAAATTGGGTTGTATCTGATGCGTTCCCTCCCGAACTGTTTATGGATGAGGAGTCGATCTCAGTTTTATGGACAACCATGAAGGGTTTTCTCCTTGCAGTGGACGGTATATAGTTGCTGTTGTATCTTTTTTCATTGGGAGGACTAACCGCTCTGAGTCCATGGCCCTGGGGGTGTTGCACACTGTGGCCTGGTAACCTAAATGTGAGTTGACAGGATGCCTGATGAACCAATAAAAAGACTTTGTATGGATGCTTTGTGGAGTTTATCTATCTGCCTTTGTACAGTATTTGTACAGGACAGGCAGAATAGCAGGAAGATAATAAGGTCTCAACCCCACGATGACTGAAGCAGCCGCATGGTAATGGCTTCAGGCAAGAGTGAGGGAGACTCCCCCAACCCAACAAGGGTCAATTATGTGACCAATCAGGATTACAGATGTGGCCACATGACATGAACTACATTTCCCAGGATACCTTAACTACATTTACCATGATGCACTCCCTTAAGGGGACAGCTCACAATTCCTAACGAACGATCCCAAATCCCATTAACTCTAAACTGTCTGGACAGCACAGACTATACCATTGTACAGTTACAAAACGACCAAGGGGGGAGAGCCTGGGAGGAGGG